TTTTTACCTCCAAAGTACCAACTAGATTTACTTTCTGATCGAATAAGGTACTGAAATAAAAAATCGAAGCACTTTTACTGCCCCAAAACGTGATGAAAGACAAAAAAAAAACATACACCATGGTAAAATCAATACATTCATCGCTCCGCTCAGAATCTAAAATATAGTCATTTATTAAAAATATAACCATCTTATATCCAATCATTTTAGAACCAAAATTGCTGATTAGAACACTTTACTCTGATCTATGTGTATTTTATATAACTAAAAAGTTTTGAATTTAAAACTAAAATTTATACATATTAATCTATCTTTATTCAAATGATTAAACTTATTGATATTAAGGTTTACGTTAAATAGTTAAAATTTCATTCCTATGAAGTTGTAAATAATAGKTCACTGTAGTGTTGTAGATTTGGTATTTTGTTTCGCTACAATTATTATTACAGCCGCTGATTTATAAAATAACTAATGTTTTACAGAGAATACAGAATGTCCCAAAATTCATACATCATAGACAATCAATTTTTTTTGATTTATTTTTGTTGTCAAATCATTTAAAATAATATGTAATTTTAAAATTAATATAAATCTTTTCAAAATCAGTATTAACTTGTGATAAATTCACACAAATGCGATCCATCCTAGTTTTTTCTTACTTTATTGCATATATCTGTTATTTTCCAGAATATTAAAAGCTTAATCGCTTTGAATCTGACAATTTTTTCTTAATTTTTATATTTTTATGAAAAATATGACTAAGAGAATTTCAATAATTCGATGTCTTGTTCAAAAACATTTTTTTTTTTTAAATTTATACCGATGAATTGGTATATTAAATTATTGTTTACAAGCCATCATAATATATAATATGTTAAATATCGGGAGTGGTTTWTGGGATTTTTGGAATGGACTGATTTCATACACACACTCACAATAATTTTATGGTTATTTGCCTGTTATACTATGGTTCACTGTAATCATACAATTCACAGGCAAGTATTTCGTGACTGGAAGTTCAGATCAGACGGTGAAGGTTTGGCTATACAACGAGGGTGTACCCACGCACGTGGGCGTGGGCCATGCGGGCGTCGTGACCAATGTAAGAGTAAGTCCGGACGGCCGGTACTTGGTAAGCACGAGCGTCGACGGAGGCATATTCCTGTGGTGTTTCCCGCATRACCCCGATAACGCGTCGTTTAGTAGCCGGTGTTCGACAGCCAGTGGTGTGAATGCGGGTGAACAGCAAACGGTTCGATCGCGACAACTGTCGCTCAAGAAGTCAATGCCAGTCCGGAAAGAGAACATCTCCGACATATCGTCAGCACAGAAAGTGATGTCGGTGTTAGGGGATGGTGGAGCCGCCGGTGACGGGGAGAAAGCAGCAGAAGCTGGTGGTGGTGCAAGAATTTGCAAATCGTCATCGTCCATTCGATGACGGGCCCGATGCAGCATCTTAACAACATTGCGAGAGAAAATGTTGTTTTTACATCCACAACCATTTCAGTGTCAGATCATATTGTCATACCAATTTTTGTTTCACTTCCCCCCCTCCATAACTAGTGAACGGATCTCCGGGTTCACTATTTGTGAAATATTACGAATGCTATGATCACAGCACAGCTTTCATTTATTAGCAATCGTTTTTTTCTTCATGCGATCAAACTATAATTTACCTATGTTATTATATTATGAAAGTATTATACATAAATCACCGATAGAGATGTGTGGAACCTCCGAACCTATTATTATTAGAAAAACATTGCATACAACTTGATCCATCTATATACCTATATTATATAATATAGTAAGAGTGAGAGAAGTTAAATAAACGTTTTAGAAAAAAAAATATAATGTACTTTAGTGCTTATTATATGGACACTACATAGAAATGTTCTCTCTCTTTTTGAAAAATGTTAATATTAGGCAACCTATGACGGGTTTAGGGCTTTTTAATTTCAGCGTAAGTTAAGTTGGGTTAATTAGTGGCGTATTTATGGAGGAGGGGTTGGGTCCCCCCATAACTTTTTTCTCTCTAAAAAAATTAAATTCTTACATATTTGCTTAACCTGATTTATGGAGAGTGCRCATATTTTTTTCCCGTGAACAAAATGCTATATAAAATATAGTTTAAAATTAGTTACAACAGCTAAAACAGATACATGTTCCTGCAGCATGGCTTAAAGTAATAAGTATAGAAACTATACTTTTATAGTAATGTTGTTCTGACTATGGTTTCCAAGTTAGGACTTATAAACTGAGTACCCTCCCCCCACCAAGATAAATTTGAAAATATGCCACTGAAATTAGATGTCTTAGGAAGTCTATTGGGTTTTCAGCAAGATCTAGCGTCTAGCACGACGTATTTGTGTTGTTAGTTCACAAATATGAGGTGGTGTTGAATGAGAGTTAGCATRGTAAATGGTAATTTTTAGAAATTAGTAAAATCCAAGTAGCTGATTGGATGGGTCTAGTGAAATTTTGGACGGCATCATCGATATTGTTTGATGTCTATAATCTAGTGTTGAGGTTTTATTTTGTTCTATTATTTTGCGAAACTGGGCGCAGTTCGTAAAACTATTTTTTAGGCATATTTTACTGGGCCACAAAAAAGGAAGAATATCCAAGGAAAGAAAAACTGGAATGGTTAAAACATGGGTCTAACAATTATTTATTATGTAGGTAAAGTTAAGGTAAAGTTAGCTAGAATTTTTGTCACAAAAATTTCTAAAATATTTAGACGCTTTCCGGTAAAAGTACACCAGTATGTAGGATTTGGGAGATTCAGCATAGTAATAAGGTTGCTGTTGATTATTTGAAATAAGGAGCGTCCTTTTGGAAACTATAATTTACACCAGGATTAAATATTTCATACTTAACGAGAAATTCATTTCTGAGATCATTGCCATATAAATTCTTTTTTCATTTACAATTTCGTAAAAAATTTATTTTTGCAGTTGGACAGACAGACTATTGGMAATTCAAAGTAGGATGACTATAAAGACAGGGTGGTAAATATATTATTTGAAATTTTGTGTAAGAAGACCGTTGAGGACAGTAGTGATAAAAATAATATAGGCTTAATCAACGCTTTAAATTCGTTTACAAATTTGGTCAGGAAAKAATTATTGTTGACGTTTGCCATAGGCTCGAGTTGGTGAGCTAGAAACAAGAGGTTGCTATACAGTTATTAATATTTCAATGATTTGTATGGCCTTTAGTTTTTTTGTTATAGTCAGCGTGTTTTTTCGAGGTTGATTTTCGGAATCATTGAAGGTTCTTATATCGTAGATACTGCACCACTTATAGTTTGCTATATGATCTCCTTCTCCGAGAGTGCATRTGTCAGGTAACTTTATTGCTTTTACCATAACTAGAAGAAGGATGGTGACTTCCACAATGAAAAAATCTTGGAGAGTAAGAATAGTATTTCCTGGAGTATTTTTCGGCATTTAAGACACTAAATTAAGTTTCTACGTAATTTTTGGTGGAGAAGTGACATTATGCCAAAAATATCTATTGATTTTTGWAAGTCGTGGTTGATAAAGAAAATAGGAAGTTTCTTTTTGATTGTTTTTTGTAGTAGTTAGTAGCTTGTCGAACTTAGAAACCAATTTTTTCAATTGATGCACCAATCCAACAGTGATGTGGACGGGTGAAGATTACGGATGACTATTCGAAAGACTTTATCCTCCTGCGGCTGGCAAGTATATAGTATTGAGCTTTGCTATCTCTTGGAAAACAGATTTCTTCACGGCAGTCGGAAAGACTGCCAAGACTTAGAGTTATATGTCTCGACATTCGAGTCGTTTATGTCTGCATAGATCAGCYTAATTCATTCATTGCCACGAAAAAGTCCAGAATACCACGAACGATGAWTGGTGGTGGAAGTTTGTGGTATGGAAAWATGTTACTCTAAAGGAGACACATTTTAAAGTAATGCACTATTTTTCAATAAAATCAATAATTTAATTCACTCAATTTTAGAAGTACTATTTTTATAAGCAATAGGTATACAATCTTTATCATTTGATACAATAAGAATATAGGCTAAAAGTAACAAATATGACTGGTTTAAATAATTTCGATGAAAAAAGATATACACTCACGACACTTGACACTTTCTATGGCTACTTGGTTATAATAATATTATTTATTTAATTATTATTAAAATAGGTCACAACGACGACACCACTTTCGCTTTAGGCATCTTGGGAGATTATTAGACAGATATAGTGGTGGAGGCCAAATTGTTAATGAGGGGATTCGAATGAGTACTGGTGGTTGTGGAATCTTTTGTAGAGGTACTATATAAAACTAAACGTATCATAAACACTTTATTGAAACAATTACACTGTATATAGTTTGATAATATTATATGGTACCTATATAATGATGAATAAGTGTGGTACTTTACGCACGCGATATGTGTTCTTTAAATATATTTTATAATTTAACTAGCTGTTGAAATATATCCAAAATAATGTTCAACTATATTATTARAATAGTTGTTATTGCAAATAAAAAAACGCATGGCAAGAAGTGAATGATGTTGAAACTGAACCATTGCATTATTCAATCATCTATTCGAAAGAGCATTGGTAAACACAACTCTATGACTTATGAGTATCATCAACCCCATCAAAGAAATAACATCCATGGCAAATTCTGTTCCACGTAGCTTTACATTTACGTTCCATTAAGTAAAAAAATGAAATTCTGTGGCTTGCGTGCCTGAACAAACTTTTTTTCAAGGTTCCCAAAAATAAAATATACAAAGCCAATAGATAGGTACTGAGAAAGTGATAACGGATAAATTTATTTAAACTTAAGTTTTCTATTTTAAAATGAGTAGAATATATTTTATTTTTTGTACAATATTTATAACAATATAATAACGTATATATATATAACGTCTCATTTTATGGTATAAATAATTATTATGAGAATATTTATAGTTAATAACTAATAAGTAATTATAACTAACAATACGTTTGACACAATAATACGATCATAATTTCATCATATCAACGCAACTTTTTGTTCAGGTATAATCTTTATATAATATAATATAAACACTTATGAGATGAATCTAAACTTTTTTTTATTTTCAATGTAACTATAAAAGTTACCWTTGATTATAATTAATAACTATATCAACAGAGACAATAATCTAAGAAAAAAGACCAATAAAATTGTAATAGAAATATTTTTATTTACTCAATTCAGATTTATGGGTTTTTCTAAATACCTAAAGTTTTATAATGTTTTTACCATACATTTCTTCATATTCCTAGAATATATTTAAAATGAGTTCAACTTTAAGTTGAACCTTCGTATTACAAAGTGTAAGTTAATACTCATTATATACATACGCCACATTATTCTGGTTCTGGTGACTGAATTTTTGATATAAAGTAGCTACACAATAATCTATACATCAATTCTTATAACCTATTTGAGTTTAATTTTATATATTATTGTTCCTTATATTTACGTTGATATTTTGTCCACCTATCTATTTTACATTAAATTTCATTTACTTTACACTTTAATAAAACACGTCAAAGTATAGTAGGTACCTACTTAATCTTATACTCTTTGTTATTATATTTATGAAATCGTAAAATTTTTTATAATAAAATTATTTTTGTGTTTATGATTACCTAACTTATTCTTTTTTTAAAAGAATATAATTTTCACAATCATTATTCAATAGACAATGTATCATTTATAGTTATACCTATCCTGCAGTAATGTATCCATGTTTGATACAGTTTATATTATAAAGAATATTTTTAAAATCTTTAAACATTTTATATTATAGRCAATGGAATGTAATGAATTGTCGCATTTAGTCCATTTAGGAAAATATTGCTATGTTTTAAAGAAAAATAATTAAATATTCGAAGAATTTGTATGGGAGACGTTGTAGTAATGAGCAAATYTTTAATGTCTAAAACTTCATACATAATTGAAAATTCACTATGAAAAAATAATGACTTATCAAAATAAGTTTCTATTTATTGCTATCATTAAGAACGCCCATAGATGGAAGAGGATTAGAACTTTTGGTTTAAAATACTTTTGGTGTCAATATAAGTCATGATGGATATGTCCCTTCACTATGTTAATTAAAAATCTTTACACACCAATAATCAATATTATAAGATTTAACACAAGAAGTATTTTCATTATAGCATAAAATGTGTTTAAAAGTTATAAAGAAAGGAAAAATCAAATATTTTTTTTAAATTATATATTTAACATAAATTACTTGTCAGTTTTTAATTTGTTAAATATTAAGATCACACCAAATTGTCAATAAGCAATGACTTAAATGTGAAGCTAGAATTCCAAAGTAATATATCGACAGTTTTTATATTTCCTCTACAAAAACTTTATTTTCGTATAGCAGGTTACTGTTTTATTTACTCT